TGTCATTTGTTTCTTGCCTTTCTATAGCTGCTTTTATCTCGTCCATAGAAATAGGGTTGTTCAGCGGATCATCTTCATTGTAACTACTTGCAGATTTGCTGCTAACATTCTGTAATTTACTGAACTCGTTATTTACATGCATGTCGTGCTCTCGGTCATTGGGTTGGTTTTGAAGGTGTTTTCCTGTGAAGAAAGTATTAAATAACAATTCCTCCTTATCTTTTTCAGATGTGACCAGCAAGTCACAGTCTTTGAGGTTGCAGATAAAATTGTCAGTTTTGGCCCCAAAAACTCGTTTATATTTTCTCCAGAATTGAGTGCAGTCTTTGGTGTTAAGTGTTTCAACTCTGTCACGAATCCATTCATTCTTTTCTTTAATCAGCGCTTTCTTGAATGATTCAGTGCTTTCAGTGAGTGTGGCCTTGTTTCTGGGAGTTGATCTTTGCTTAAATCTTTCTTTCGCTTCTAGAGCTTCATTAGATAGAGTTGTAAGTGCAGGACACCAATATGGTTTTGAATGAATGGATACTGTCTTCTGAGGGATGAACATTCGGTTAGCCTCCTGTATTTTATGTAATAACTGCTGCTATAGCTGATCCCCTCGGTTTAATAACTCTGGGGCCGAACGAAGATGTTGACAGTTGGTCTCCATTGCATTTGTCCATATTTTCCAGTCTGCATTTTTCCAGTCCATACACACTCTGGGGACAGTGTCTGATTTTGGGATCCCTCTGCAGATTTCTTGAAGCACCGGATAGTGACCTCTTCTTGGGGCACCTGAAAATAATTCAACATCTTTATCCATCCACTGATTTCCCAACTTTGAGATGATGGGGCCTTCGGCTAACACTAAGTCAATAACACTTCCTCCATTTGTACAGACAAATGTGCAGTCGTATGGTGAGCAGAGAGTTAGGGTTTCCTTTTCAACGTAGTCTAGAAGCTTCTTTCCTCGCTGCGTGGTAACATGATCTCCCCAGTCATGATGTCTTGCATTAAAGTCTCCATATGTGAGAAGAGAGTTGAATTTATATTTAGCCTTATATTCTCTTGCTTTATCAATGTGGGCAAGAAGTCCTTCAAATTTTCTTATGGAATCATTAGAGTTATTGCAAGGTTTGCAATAAACTGATCCCACCAAATATCTCTTTCCTTCAACTTTTATTTGGCACCAAACCGCATCAACTTCGTCTACGTTAAGGTCATAGACCAACTCTGGATGTAGTGAAGGATCAATGACGAGTGCTACCCCAGCTGTCCCTTTATTTATGTCCCCAGCTTTATGAAATACCTTTTTATGAAGGAAACTTCCGTCTGATTGAGTCCAAGAGCTTGTTTCTTGAACCGCCATCAAGAGTATCTCATTTTCGTAGATAAACTTGTCAAGTGTCATCTCAGAGTTAGTTGACATCTTTGCTATATTTATTTGGCCAAAGATCATAATCTACTGTTGGGTTGTGTGGGTGATTTTGAACATTTGTTTGGTTGCATGTTGAGTTTCATGACAATATTTTGGTATGTTGGACAATCTCTGTTTGTAGCTACATGGCCAAAGACATCACAATTAATACAGTAGTCTCTTCGGTTACTCTTGCATTGATATGAGTGGTGATTGTCTCCACATTTGCTACATGTTGCATGGTTTTGGGTACAAAGTTTAGCAACATGGCCAAACCTGTAACAATTGTAGCATTGGATGATTCTCCTTCTCGGCTTATACTCTTCCGCAGTATAAATTACCTGTCCGAGCTTTAACCCATTTCCTAAGCATTTCTCATAGTCTTCCTTAGTCTGAAAGTTGATCTTAAGAGTTTTCAGAGAAATGTTGTCCCGTGTCACAAATCTTTTTGCCCTAGCTCCTGGATAACACCTTTCCACAGAAATTGTTAGATCACTATCCTGAATGTTTGTGGGTACTCCTTTGAGAATGACTGCCCAGCTTAGCTTTTCTAAGATCCTGCATTCTGTAGTCATGTTACTGTTTGCAAAGAAATCACCTTTCCATGATCCTTCTACTCTTATTGCATCCTCTTTAGATGTGAGCTCAATCATCAATGATCCACCTTTGGTGACAAATGTCGATTTTATGGCCATATCTTTAAAATATTTATTGAAGTTTTTCTTAATAGTTGCACTGTTTTTAAGATAATTTCTTGAGAGTCCTCTTGAGACTAGGACTGTCGTGGAGTCATTAACAGTGGTTTCTGATGGCTGGTGAATGTAGTATTGTTTGCCCTCATGTGTTTTATCTTCTGCTATGGTACTGAAAAGATCCAGGTTTGTGTGTCTTGTAGAAACACCTTGATGTCCAATTACAGTTCTCTTGAAGTCTACTCTGTTCATCTCTTTTAGGATGCTTTTATTTTCCTCCGTTATGTTATGCAGTGTGCGAAGTGCTTCATCCATGCCACTGTCAGCTTGTGGGTTTGAGGATACTTTGTTAATCAAGGGAACCCCCTTAGCTAATAAATTTCCCATATTCTCCGTTAAATTCCTCTTTAGATATTCAAAGTGTTTTGTTTCACTCTCTCGTAAGTCTTTCATTTCAGCCTTCATTTGTGACATATATCTTTCGATAGAGCAGATTGCGGAGTGTTGTGATGCTAATACATCAACTTGGTCACTCAGAGTTCTGTTGATGTGGACATTTTGTTCTGAACTACTGATATTTGAGTACGATGTCAATGGGTCAACCATCTCTTTACTACAAACTAGCCTATCTTGTGAGTCTACCTGAATATTTTTCTTCTTTCCCCCATCTCTTCTTTCAGGTGTTGAGGTTCGGATTGGACAACAAATTTTTTGCTGAACTGGAGGATTGAGGTCTGGTGTTTTGATTATAGACTCTTCTAGATGTGTGTTGGACTCAATGGGTCTCAAGGACAGACTGCTGCTGAAATCTCTGTCAGATTTGCTGCACAAGATAGAGAGGTTATCATATGTATCTGAAGCTGACAGATCTGAGATGTGTTCAGTTGGGGCCGAGTCATCTATGGAGGCACTATCATACAGCTGTTTATAGGGGTCAATTGTTGTTTGCGTGTCCATATCTTTTCTCACAACAGTTGTGTACTCCCCATCTTTTTTAGTCAACTCTGCGATTTTAGCTTTAACTTTTACGGAGCCTAGATCCAGAATGTGGTTTAGTAGGCTTGGAGAGTCACATGAATTGCAAAGCCAATGCAAATTCTCAATTTTGCATATATTTTTATATGTGGAGTCTGCCATTGGCTTCTTCCTAGTTTCACCAGATCTTTTTGTTGTTGATGTTGTTGTTTGAGAATCATAACATTTGTAGTGTACTTTCAGTTCACAGTATCCGCATGTGAGCAACTCCTGTTTGCATTCCTTCTGGCAATGGCAGCATAGAATTCCAGAGTCCTCTTGGATGACATGCAAGTCTTTCTTTAATATGGACGGAACAAGTGAAAAATCTGATTCAAGATCGATCTCAAATGTGCTCGGTGTCCTCACAGCTACAGATGTAAGACTTGTCGTAATGAGTTGCTGATTTCCCACTTTGATATTGGGTCCTGATTTTTGATTTGCAGAGTTATGTAAGGAGATTTTTGGATGTGGCTTTAAAAGGGTATGAGGTGGTGATTGCATCTTTGTGAAAAGAGTCTTGACTTGAGAGACATACTCTTTGTTCTCAGCAGACTTGACACAGGACCAGGAACAATCCAAGGGAGTTTTCATAGAAAATGCAAAGAGTGCATAATCGAAGTTACTAGGAACTCCAAACTGCTGTTTGAACTCTATACCCGACTTCAGTTTAGTTGCCAGCCAGGTGTAGGGGTAAGAAAGTGCTCTTACTTTTGCATCAACAATGTTTTCAAGTCGTTCTTGGGCAACTGCAATCATCTGTGGGAGTGTTAAGGCCCACCATGGGACATCTGCTACATCGTGTAGTTTTTCTCCTATGTGCATCTGGTATAGCACTTTCTTTTTGTCTTCAAAGCTTAATGTTTTGCCAGAGTATGCAAGAACAATATCTTTAGGCAGGGCAATTTGGTGAGCAGTATCCGAAAGTTCAACAAAGGAGCAGAGAAAGTGCGACTGCCCGTCAAAGCAAAAAAGAACTTCTGAACTTGGACTCAATAGTTGGAGCTGGGTGTATATGTGACTTGTTTTTATACAGTTTGTGAGCATCTTTCTATTTGAGGCTGACACAACAATTGAATCAGAAGTCTCTAATAGGCTACAATACAAACTTTCGAGTTGGTTGTTTTTTGCAGTGTCAACTGTTGCAATTGACACAACCTTTGGTTTGTTAGGTTTCAGTTTAATAGACATCTTTGTGTGCCGTCACTAGAAACCAAACCAAGTAGAATTGTTACAGCCCAGAGCTTTTGTAAAACTAGCTTTAACTGTCACAATTCTATGATATCTGACTTGATAAATGTCTAGTCAGAGTAATGGGGTGTTAAGCTTTATTGAACTGGCTTAACTTTCCAGAAAGAGCTTTAAAAACGAGCTCTTGAAACAGGCAACACTTGGCTAAACTTTATTATAACTAGTTTTGTCAAGTGATTGTCCTTGTTAATGTCCAAGAATATCAATGATTATACACTGTCCGTCGCGTTGTCAAACTGAATTCCAAATGTTTCCGAATTGATTAACAGTTTACAGTACCAAGTAGTAGGGAGTAGCTATTTTGTTCTCTTTGGACGTAGTCTGATTGTCTTTGCAGCCTTTGCTTTGCGCTCCGTTTAGAGATCGATTTCCCAACACCTGAAAGGATATGGGCACCAGAAAAGTGTGATAGGGATTGCCAGCAGTGCTGACAAAAGAGCTTTTCTGAGTTTAGATGAATGACAATGTATATGATCTCAGCTGTGAAACTCACCGTTTAGGTATGAGTTGGAATGGTTGCTGAGATGATTGAGTGAGGAACAAGAAAACTATTGTGTATTCTGCCAAACTTTAGTCATGCAACATACAACAATCTGCAATTGTTGTTACATTCTATTGAGGTGTGATGTCCCACTAGGGGTCCTCAATAAATGTAATAGATTTGTAGTGTTGTAATTAGTTTAAAACTAATCAAAAGACAGAAAGGGAAGGTGGAGTCTACCATCGACCTAAAGTATCCACACAATGTATTCCAGCTCAAAGGATAATTTAAAGGACGTTATTGTTCAAACATAATTCAAAAATTAGAAATGAATTGTTAGCCTCAATTTTCCCCAAGTAGCGAAACAAATTCCCTCTTCTTTTCGGATTCTGAAAGAGTTCGATCTGATGAATCAGTTTGCCCTCGACTAAATGCTTTAAAAATTTAAATAATTAGTTGAACTGTAGACATGTGAATTATCACATGCCTGTCTTAGAAGTTCTTCCTGTGACAATCTTTTAAAGTTAACTTGGGAAAAACGTGGTCCATCTCGTGCAAACTTTCCTAATGACCAGGGTCTAGGATAAAAACGATGGAAAATAGTATGAATGAGTACTCCACATAAATCAGAATACATAAAAACGCAGTTAATAATCAAATTACATATTGAAAGATAACCATTAACCAAACAGCGCGTGAAAAGTAATTTTGAGATACAACATGAATGACACTAAAAAACTAGGCATTTAGATAAAAAATATGACAATATTTGTTTTAACGCTCGATTTACACACTTTATATTGTGGTGTAAATCGTCAAAAATATGCGCGGCGCGCCTAAAATTTTGGTATCTTTTTTGAATAATTTCTTGAAACAAATATTTTAAAGCTGCCGAAAGCTTGTATCATGCGGTATTATTTTTTATCACGTCGTGACCCCCATAAGTTGCAAGTATTATTTCAGAATTTAGAGGGAGGAATTCGATTTGATTGACGATGTCAACTTTTCCAGATCGTTGCTCTGCGAAGCAGAGCAACGATCCCGTCGATGCGAAGATCCTTTCGATAAGAAGTAAAAATAATAGTTTGCGCTGAGCGACGCCCAGTAAGCCTTATAATTAATTTTTATACTTAACTGAATGTATTGACATAACAAAGGATGATGCTAAATTTATGTGTAAATTTGCAAAAGTTCACAAAATAGATTGGCTCAAAGGTAATATATAATACAAAGCCTTTATTGGTCTTCAAAGTATACTAACTGAAGCAACTTTTATTGAAATTTTTCAAGTGTGTCATTCAATCTGTTGTAAAGATTTCAATTGACCATTATTAATGCTTAATTGATCCATTGTTAATGCTCCGGCGCGCGCTACTTCGAAGAAATTTAGACGAGTAACATCCGTCAAAGATTTCAAGTGTCAAGGGGGTGTGTTTGGACTATTTTACACCTAACTTTCTAGGGGCTTTTATCAAAACTGTGAACTCTTACAAATTGACTATCACTGCCTTTGTACCATTACCAATAACGCAGATTCGACTGTAATACATGAGTTTTTATTTAGAAATTCCAACTTGTCTGTGAATGGTTCGGACAGATGTCATCTATTGTGGGATCTGTTATTAATTAATTAAAATTGAAATTTAAAAACACCACTATTAAGCGTACACTTTTACTCAGCAGTGTCACTACAACTAGTTTACAAAAATACTTTTAAAACTATATATCAAAAGCAAAATAAAGTTCTATGTATAAATTCGTTCATAAAACTTCCAAAAAGCTAATATAATTTAGATAAGTCAAAGAGAGGGTTAAAATTATTAATAAAACATTTTTGCTACCTCAGTGTCAGATAAAGTAAACAAATAAGTCTTCAGTGCGGACTTAAACGCCTCAACAGAATAACATTGTTTAACTGAGTCTGGTAGTGCATTAAAAACTCGTGGACCAACCACACTAAAACTACGATCACCAAAACCCTTGGTTGAACGATAAGGGACTATGAGCCTAACAGTGTGTCCATGGTGAGCATACTTAAACATATCTTGAAGGTACAGTGGCGCTATTCCATTAATAGCCTTAAAAGATAGGAGACATATTTTAAAAATCACTCTTTTAGGTATATTAAGCCAGTGCAATTTATCAAGATCGTCGCCTAGGTGATCAAATTTATATTTTCCAGTTACTGCTTTTGCACAGGCATTTTGAATAAGCTGTAGTTGATGTATGAGGTACTTGGAGATGCCGTAAAACATGGCGTTACAGTAGTCCAAACAAGAAACAACGAGGCTATTAACAATTGTCTTAAGCTGTTTTGTAGTCAGCAGAAACCTTATCTTAGTGAGGTTGCGTAGTGTTAGGAAACATTTCTTCTTCAACTCAACAACATGGTTGCTCATAGTAAGCCCAGAGTCCATATGTATCCCAAGATTCTTAACTGTGCTCACAAATCGAATAGTTGTGTCACTCCCAAAATTCACTCCCTTTATATTGATCTCTCGTAGGACGGACATAGGACCAAAAACGATTATCTGTGTTTTACTGTCATTCATTGCTAGAAAGTATTTTTTCATCCAAGCTCTAATAGATGCAAAGCATCCCCTGAGCTGAGAGAGTAACGTTTCGCACTGGTTGATGGGTTTAAATCTCTTTAAGATCTGGTGGTCATCTGCATACCCATAAATTGTGAAGTCCATTCCTTGTACAAATCTATAGATGGATCTGATATAAAGGTTAAACAGAACAGGTCCCAGAACTGAGCCCTGAGGAACACCAAACTTAATAACTATTTCTTCAGAGAGAGTAGAACCAAGTCGAATTCTCTGAGCACGACCTTTTAGAAAGCTAGTAAACCATTTTAACACAGTGCCCCTTAGTCCTATCTCCTTCATGAGAATGTTCAGTAAGACATCATGGTCTACAGTATCAAACGCCGCCGATAGGTCAAGCATCATGACAACTGTAGCACTCTTTTCATCTGATGCAACTAGAAGATCATTCCATATTCTGATCAATAATGTTTCTGTGCTGAAGGTCTTCTTGTATGCAGACTGTTCTGGGCAGTGGAGATTATGCTTATCTAAGTGATCGTTTAGGCGCTTTAACACCACTCTCTCGATTAGCTTCCCAAGGAAAGTGAGGTTTGAGACAGGGCGAAAGTTTTTCAAGACATTAGGATCAAGAGAGTTACTTTTCAGGAGGGGAACAATATCAGCAAGTTTGACTCCGTCCATTGAACCTTGAGATAAGGATGCATTAACAATCTGTAGAAGTAATGGTAGCAGAATGCTGATGTTCTCTTTAAGCAGTGTAGTAGGTAAGATGTCAGAAGGTGAACATTTGATACCAAACTCGTCAATGATTTCCTTTAGCTCATCTAATGTGACAGGTTCAAAGGTAGACCAGTGGTAGGATTCGGGAGCTTCAGCAGAAGAGTCTGATGGAAGAGTAAACCGATCATGATCCATATCTTTCCTAATGTTATCAATCTTAGATGTAAAGTAGGCGTTAAAGTCTGCTGCTAGCTTTGGAAGATCTTCTGTGTAATCTGGCAGAGGATTAGATTGTTTACGGTCTAAATTTCTATTGACCAGCTGCCACAAAGTTCTTGGGTTGCCTTTAGAGTTTTCTACCATATTCTTAAAGTACTCCTTCTTCTTCAGATCAGCCATTTTAGAACATTCTGAGCTGATGTCTCTAAACATGATTTTATCTTCAAGCGTTGCTGTTGGTTTACGAGTTTTTGCTTCGGCTTTTCTTCTCAGCTTTCTGTAGTCCCTGTATTCATTATCAAACCAAGGTGCAGAATCAATAACAGATACCTTCTTGGAGACTATTGGAGCATGCTCATCTAGGAGTTCAGCACACAAGTCGTTCAAGTTGGCAACAGATGCACTCATATCAGTAGTTCCAATTTTCCCAAGATCAATCAAGTTTACTATATCGAAGAGATCACTGGTAAATTGGTCATCATCCACAGTCTCTGTTATTTGTCTACATTGATTTCTTTTGTAAAATTCAATGAATATTTCAGTAAACTCTCAGTGTTTGATTATATACTCAACAATGGGAACATTGATTACTATCTTCGAATGAATCTTATATTATGAAGGATGTTATTGTGGGAGCAATTCTTCCAGTAATTCTTCCAGCAGCTGCTGATTTATCTCATAATGACAAATTGTCAAAAAGCTGTCAGAAAACTTTCGAAAAAATGAAAAGAATTTTGCCAGGAGATTCAAAACAAGCAAATGATTCACTTACACTTCCTTTGACATACGTTGCATGCCACTTTTCGCTCGCGAAGCCGAAGGCTGATATTTGGGATACGAAACATGTATCAAAACTTCCTTAACCTGGTTACTGTTTAGTTGTTGTGAAGTTATTCACAAGTAGAGATGTTACGACCAAACAGTTCATGATCGAATTTGTGTCTAAACAAGAATTGCGCCGGAATGGAAGAGATGGTTACAAAAGATAACATCACAGATCTAATTAGGCTTAAGGGGGCTTCCTAAGAGTTGCTTCCTTTTTTCTTTTTTTTTGGCTTAAGGGGGCCGGGGGGGGGGGGGGGGTCTTTGTCAAAATTCTCTCGAAATTGACTTTATAGTTGTTTCTAATAGATGCGAGTGACATCTATCAGCTGCTTTAGGTGCCATGAAAAAATATTCTTCCTAGCCGAAATAATCGCTGGTCTAAGGTCAGCGCTTATGTGTAATTGTATTGTCTGTATAATAGTCTGAATATGAATCAACCGAGAGAAATTGTTGAAAGTTATAAACATCTTTGTGATTTTTGAAGTACATGAATGATTGTTTTATAGTTAATTGTTCAAGTTAGGTTTTTGGAATTGAATTGAATTGAAAGAATGGTATTTGGTAAAAACGCCATAGATTTCAATGAGCTAAAGACAGAGCTGGTGCAAGACAATTGTCAGGTCCTTTTGAATGTGGATCCAGTATTAGCCTAGTACAGTTAGTGGGATGGATTTAGTAGTGACAGACATCAGATCAAAGAATCCATGTGATCATCTCAGTGATGGACACAATGAAGCGGTATTTCAGATCCTTGGGTTAGCCCCCCCCCCCCCAGCTCTTGATCTCCTGGCCACTTATTTGAACTTGGTGTTTCCATCGTGTGTTTAACATAAGCATCAAGATGGTGGCCGTGGGTACTATATTGGAGATAGCAACAACCTCGTTCTATTTTCACTACACTGTCTATTTAGTGATATCATTGGCTGTTGAGCTTGAGGTTTTATTGATACTTATACTGCTTTGATAAGGGTCTTTAAACATTGAATTATATTTTCCTTCTGTTAGTGAACTCTCTACTGTTTTTATTTATGTGGCATTTAGGTGACATAGCAGCTTTTATTCTCTACTCGTTTTGTTTACTTTGCTCTTTAATTGTCTTGATCAAGATGTCACTGTTTTACATTGTATTCTTACATAATATGTACATTAAAATGTGTACTGTATTTACTATTGAAGAACTTTTTATTGATGCTGGTCAATTTTTTTTTCTGGCTCAATAAGGTTTTAAAAATTTTTGTATGTAAAATGTTTTTCCTGGTCGTTTTAAAAGATTTAAATGTGCGTTATGATTTCCTTTATGATTTACTTTTTACGTCATTCAAATCGACTCTGGTATGGTTACTTGGTTGGCTTTAATAATGATTTTAAGTTTGAAGTCTTGTCTTAAGGTTTTAGGTCATCTTAAGAGGGAAGGGGGGAGGATTCTAGGACTGGCTTACCTAAGCCAAAATAATTACATTTTGCCGAATTTGTCCACGAATCATATTTGGGAAGAAGAACAAAATTAGTAAATTCTCATATTATATGTTGTAGCAGTATTACTAGGCAATAACAAGTTTTACTTTTATTTAGGCCATGGACGATGACGGGAATCACGTCATTGTCTCTGACAATGGCACAGGGGTGAGTTTCTATATGTTAGTAATTCGGTTTGTTATTCTGCATGTTATTCTGTATATATGTCTGTTTCTTTTTAAAGGGGAACATCTCTCCAATTTTTTTGGATAAATTATAATGAACATGAATTGTAACTTAAAAATCACTTCCAGTACGTGAAGTGTGGACATGCAGGGAAGAATTTCCCGGAGCATGTGTTTCCTGCGATGGTGGGTCGTCCCATTATTAGATCTCAAGCTAAAGTCGGTGACATTGAAGTGAAGGTTTGGCTTAGTTCTTAATTCATATTCGATGAATTATGATAGTTCTCTGTTATCATGCTTCAGTTGTTTACAGTGAAGATTTATATTCATGTATAAAAAATCTCTCATATCTCTAATGACTAGCACAAGTTTCTACGCCTGGACTGCCACCGAATTATACTTCTGAGTTACACCTTTAACTGTCAAATATTAAAAACACATACCATCTCAGGATTTGATGATAGGTGAAGAAGCTGCTTTATGTAGACAAATGTTGGAGATAAATTACCCAATGGAGAATGGAGTTGTGCGTTCCTGGGACGACATGCGGCACTTGTGGAATTACACATTCCATGACAAAATGGGACTTGATCCGACCAAATGTAAAGTTCTGTTGACTGAGCCTCCTCTTAATCCTAAAACTAATAGAGAGAAAATGATCGAGGTAAGAATATTAAGATATTAAACTGATGTGCTTTATTTTGAAGCATAACTATGAGATTCATTTAAATTTGTTCATACATTACAAATTAATGCATAACTAATCAACATTATTATAGTCTATTAAAATATTTTTGCTGCGATGTGTAAATTATGTCTATAAGGAATACATACTCCGTATTATTTATTTAATAAAGAGTATCCGCTTACATCACTACATAATACACAATCCGTATCACATTCCGTATTTCTTTGGTTTCCCGTTTCTGTTGTTAAACTAAAAGGAATTCCCAGTTGAATATCTCGATAATGTAGACTCGCACATGTTACTAACATATTGCTACAGTGTTTAACTCTTATAACCATTGCAGATTATGTTTGAAGAGTACGGATTTAAAGGAGTATACATTTCTATTCAGGCTGTTCTTACCTTGTACGCCCAAGGTAACTTTATTTTCTTCCTTAATTTCATGGCTTATGTTTATTCGCTCTGCCAAATTAAGTACATAATACACCGTTTTATGCTATAATTTGAATGTTATTAAGATTAAACATACTCTCCAGGCGCCAGCTGGTTTAAATGATACAACTTACTGGACATCTTGTATATTTGTATTCTAAATAGCACTTACTCGATTGTGCGTATCATGTACAAAACATGAGCTGACAAAAGTTGTGTGCTTGTAGTGTTGATATGTCAATATTAGCACATACCATCGAGTGTTTCATCTACACTGCGGAAATGAATGCATAATTTAGATGAATGTATAAATTTAAATCTTACTGTTCTCCATTTTGTGCGTGTCGATCTCATTCATTGTTACAACGGATAACAATGTCACCATTAAAATGTAATGAAAGTATGTGAATTGTGAAATTAGGGAAAGTGTGACGTCACACCACACAATGTGACGTCAAGTTTCTCTGTTGTCACGTGTTACTAACGTGTGTCACGTGCAGGTCTGCTCACCGGAGTAGTGGTGGATTCTGGTGACGGTGTGACTCACATTTGTCCGGTTTATGACGGGTTCGCACTCGCTCATCTCACGCGCAGACTGGATATTGCAGGACGGGATATTACCCGCTACCTCATCAAGGTGCGAGCAAATTCTATATATTTTTAAGTTCTCAATGTTCAAATTGTATTGTCTATCTTAGTGAGCTGGTAGTAAGCTGTAAATCTGCCCTGGAGGGAGATTATTTAAAACATATAAGTGATACGAAAAATTTGTTTTAGCAGGAGCTTTCAAAATACATGTGTAAATCGTCTTCAGCTAAATGTAAATCTACCCCTTGACTTACAGTTGCTGTTATTACGAGGCTACGCCTTCAACCACACTGCTGATTTCGACACAGTTCGTGAAATCAAAGAGAAGCTCTGTTTTGTCGCGTACGACATCAAACAAGAGGAAATGCTCGCTAACGACACTACTTTTAACGTGGAATCGTACACACTACCTGACGGTCGCATCATAAAGCTGGGAGCAGAGAGGTTTAGTGCTCCAGAGGCCATGTTCCAGCCTCATCTCCTGGGACGTGACGAGAATGGGGTTGCGGAGTTGCTCTTCAATACCATCCAGGTAATGTGTATAGTGGGCTTTCTGACACGTGATAGTGTTTAACCAATCAGCTTCCAGCATTTACCAATCAAAGCTCATAATCTCAGTCACGTGTTGAAAGTAATATGGTTCACCTCCCCACCAGTATCGAGATATATACTGGGCCCTTTAGTTGTAGTGTATATAAATTAGTTTTGATATTAGATTTGTAGGGGGTAACCTGTAATACTATGTATTGTTCTAGGCTCACAGTCCCCAACACGGCTACTAATTAACCTGCTAGTTTGACGCTCTGGTATTGGAACTATTGTTTGATAATTACGTTAGATTAGTAATTAGGTTATTTACTTTATATTTGGTTACAGTGAATGTAACCATCTAGAATTACCTCGTATAACACTATAACACGGTCAACTGCTCTGACGATAACATTAAAAATGAACCGGCACTTCTGTGTGATTCAACTGAAATTTAATCTGCACACACACACTTTCATAAATTCATAATATAATACTGTTACTCAATACTTTTAAAAGTAACCACTTAAGTCTTCACAGCATGAGCTTAACAATCGTTGGGGGCCACAACAGACTTGCAACTAAAACACTTAATTTTAGTCGGCGGATGTTGACACAAGATCATCGTTGTACAAGCACATCGTGTTATCTGGTGGCAGCACTATGTACCCTGGACTACCCTCAAGACTGGAGAGGGAGATCAAGCAGCTGTACTTGGAGAGGGTACTGAAGGGAGATACTAATAGATTGAGTGTAAGTTGTAGGGCTAGGGCAGTCTGTTTCATTGGTGGCATCATAAGTCTAAAACACAGAAGTTTGTACCCGTTAAAACTAATCCACCCTATGTTTTCAGAAATTTAAAATTAGGATAGAAGATCCGCCCCGAAGAAAGCATCTAGTGTTCGATGGTGGTAGTGTGCTTGCTGACATCATGAAAAACAACGATTCCTTCTGGATGACCAAGGCTGAGTACGATGAGCAAGGCCTTCGGGTGCTAGAAAAGATCGGGATTTCGTAAATAATAAACTGTCATTGTGTTTGATAACTTTCAAACTCCAGTTGGTGCAATAAGGAATAGTCTTCACATATATTACCGTTTTGTTTTTGTACACGAAATACACGCTAGTAAACATATAAATAGTATGTTATCATTTAATGCGATTATAAATACTCAAATTAAAATTGTGTTTGTTCAGAAAAGTTTGTCGCAATATAAGCATTGATAACGGAGCTGATAATATTATACACCTTTTGCAGTACATCTTACATTGTATCACCAAGATATGCGATACATAACACTAACGCTACAATAAATGCACCAAGTCTTTGTACATTTGAAGTGTTATAATAATACAACTCAAGATATATATTATATGTGCAATCCAATATATAAATGTAGTTAACCATCGTAGTAGAGCAGCAAGATTAGTTGTCAGTCTTTTTAATATCATGCAGCAATTATCTTAATATCTTAATAAGGGACAGGGATGACGCATAACTTTGCATATTATATTAATGAATAATGAATAATAATTATGTTTTTAATGTTTTTTGCATTATGAATGTGTAAACGTCGTTCGTGCTGTGTTATATTATACACATGATAGTTTTTAATATTTTTGTCAAGGTGCTTACTAAATGTGATCGTATGGTTATTTTAATTTGCCTATATGGAATGTGAAGAAGAATGCAATTTAAACATTAAAAGTGTTTTGTACGCTGTAAAAACTTTTCGATCCCACGAAAAAGACATATTTTTGCGGCCGATGTTTTGTAAGTATGATTTTGTAAACTTAGACCCGTGATATTTAGCTTTTGATTACTCTAATTGATATTCCACGTTTTATTTTGACGGCTCGTCAGCTCGTGATGTCAGGCGCTGGAAATCGCCACTCTAGTGTAAACAGGAACTAAATTTATGCTGCACAATGCGCAGCAGAGTCCTCGAGCCGCGCAGTAGAGTCACTAACCATTTTGTTCTTTAAATTCGGGGCATTTTGTGGCGAAAGTATATTTGACTCACGCACGTACACCCGCAACGTAGTGTCGCTCACTTTCATCCTGGCTGTTAGTTTTCCTCATCAAGAACGAAGTTGGTTGGACAGGGAGAAAAAATTGAACGTTGGACTCGTGACTTTGGCCCTTCTTTTCATCTGATGCGCACTCTCACAGGTCTGTTTGTTTGTTTGTTTGTTTATAGAACCCGTCCCCAATCTCGTATTGGAAAATGACTAAACTCAGGTCTGAGTGTGAATACGGGTGGTACCTGCAAGAGTGTTCATTAAGCATTTAGAGTTCTGTAAAACTGCAGTTACAATTGTGCTAGAGTATTTTTAGTATATACGATTGGTATCAGAAATATATCCCTACATGCTTCCAAAATTTGTAAAGCCGTAGTACATACATATCACATTACACCAGAGCCTACACAGTGCAATCTCCTCCAGTCTATCTGCGCCGCGTATATTTGTATAAGCACACGGCGCAGACTGGAAAAAACCACACTCTGCAAGTTCAATCCAGTGCAATGCTACATGTACGTACTACGGCTTCATCTCCAACTTTCTGCACAATGTACTGGAATGTTTTGAAGGAAAAGAAAGAACAAAAAAAGTGATATATATAAATAAAATCAGCGATTTAATGTTAGCCTTGGGACAGTAACTTTAATTCCCTGGTTTCTAAAATCAGCTTTTAAAAAAAATAATAATAAAGTATGTAACGTCGATACCAAACCGATTATTGAGCGATAATAACTGAGTAGTTGATTCCTGGGTTGCAGAGTCATTCAGATGTTCCAGTCTTCGAATGTGGTTCTTGTTCAGTTCTTGACCAGAAGTGTCTAATGAAGTAAGTCAGACAAGCAAACTCTTCCTTAAATGCTCATATAAGTCGTCTCAATCCCAGAAATTATGAATGATGACCCAGTGTAAAAGTGCAGAAATCGGCCGAAAATAACAAAGACTAAAAACAGTTAAAAAGTGAAAGGATTCAAACACAAGGAAAATTAATAACTTAGAGCGTAATAAGGAATATCTCCAAACGGAGTTTTCTGAGAGGGTGAGAGGTTCTTTAATTAGAGCTAATGATTAAATGAGACCCACTAAAGGTACTAAATTAACCGGACTGCTAGCAAGGAATCGAGAGTGGGAATAAAACTAAAAGCGGAATAAATTTTAAGATAATGAAACAGAAACTGAAAGCTAAAATATATACCGTTCTAGAATGCCTCCGCAAACTATTGCTCCTTTGTAATGTGCACGTGTTAGTAAGTGTAGTAAAAAGATAAAAATAATAAAGCTATACAAATGAACGGAGCGGTGAAAATCTGAGAGGGTGAGAGGTTCTTTAATTAGAGCTAATGATTAAATGAGACCCACTAAAGGTACTAAATTAACCGGACTGCTAGCAAGGAATCGAGAGTGGGAATAAAACTAAAAGCGGAATAAATTTTAAGATAATGAAACAGAAACTGAAAGCTAAAATATATACCGTTCTAGAATGCCTCCGCAAACTATTGCTCCTTTGTAATGTGCACGTGTTAGTAAGTGTAGTAAAAAGATAAAAATAATAAAGCTATACAAATGAACGGAGCGGTGAAAATCTGAGAGGGTGAGAGGTTCTTTAATTAGAGCTAATGATTAAATGAGACCCACTAAAGGTACTAAATTAACCGGACTGCTAGCAAGGAATCGAGAGTGGGAATAAAACTAAAAGCGGAATAAATTTTAAGATAATGAAACAGAAACTGAAAGCTAAAATATATACCGTTCTAGAATGCCTCCGCAAACTATTGCTCCTTTGTAATGTGCACGTGTTAGTAAGTGTAGTAAAAAGATAAAAATAATAAAGCTATACAAATGAACGGAGCGGTGAAAATCTGAGAGGGTGAGAGGTTCTTTAATTAGAGCTAATGATTAAATGAGACCCACTAAAGGTACTAAATTAACCGGACTGCTAGCAAGGAATCGAGAGTGGGAATAAAACTAAAAGCGGAATAAATTTTAAGATAATGAAACAGAAACTGAAAGCTAAAATATATACCGTTCTAGAATGCCTCCGCAAACTATTGCTCCTTTGTAATGTGCACGTGTTAGTAAGTGTAGTAAAAAGATAAAAATAATAAAGCTATACTTTTGAATTAGAAATGTCAAACAGTATATATACAATAAATTAAATCAAGTGATGCAATTGGCAGAGCACAATCGTAAATCCTGAGCAATAGATATCATCTATCCCTCGTAGCTCTTCTCCTCAGGTATCAGGTTGAAGGAGACATTGGATATAGGGGCAGTCCATGCCTTCTTTGCCTTTCCACGTACACCTCTAACTGCTACTAGCACACTCCTCATTATATCCATGCTCAGGCGTGTCCTGATGTTACACATCACCTGGCTGTAGTCCTCCTTTGTTTTGGTGGCTATCAACACAGCAAGTCTCCTTATGAAACGCTTGGCCTCCGGTGCCATTCCTCCTGTAGTGGTAAATACAAGGGGGACGAATGACCCTTTCTCCAATTGTAGCACTCGGTTCATGTACTGGTTCTTTTTCTCATTCTCGTGCAGAGTGTAGAGCTGTGGCATGGTCTTTCCTTGATATGTAGGCGATTTAGGATTGAAAATGCGCACATCAAAGAAAGTCCTCTCAAATGTGCTCCACACTCCTCTTGCTGATATATCAAGCCTAGCCTTATCAGCATTGTTGCCCTTTTGTTGGAAGTTGGCCGATTCTATAGGTGTTAAAAGGGGCTCAATCCTCACATCCTTGGTCACCAGCCTAAGGTATTCAGCAACGGAGTCTCTCACGTTGTTATGACGGTAGTTCACATACCCCCCTCTCTTACAGTTGAGGATATGATTGTGATCATTCTTGGCTCCACAATCGCAGAATCTTGGGGTGTTAGGGATGTCCCAACCATACCGGAGATGAACAGCATCTCTGAAGTCTTGCTTGCTGTAAGTCTTGCTTGCTGTAAGCATAATAAAACTAAAGCTATACAAATGAACGGAGCGGTGAAAATCTGAGAGGGTGAGAGGTTCTTTAATTAGAGCTAATGATTAAATGAGACCCACTAAAGGTACTAAATTAACCGGACTGCTAGCAAGGAATCGAGAGTGGGAATAAAACTAAAAGCGGAATAAATTTTAAGATAATCCTCTCACAGGTCTAACCAAATACTAATTGGGCTGTCTTACTCTTAAAGCCGTAAAACAACCAAGTATTGTGAAATGACATGAAATCAAACTTCAATACTGAATAATCGTCAAAAACTGCCGAAAGTGAACACTTAAAAAACTTAAATAGGTTGACACAATATTAACTAACTAATCAAGAAAAGAAATAGCTCAAAGTAACATCCAAACAAAACTTTAGTTTAGCGGACTTTCAAAACTGATAATAATTTATGCTATTGTAACCCGAACCACAATAAAATCTCACCGATGGCACAACTTCAGTCAACCTAAAATCTGATAAAAATATTCCTGATCGAACTAACTTAATTTAAAATTCTCCAAAATATACAAATTTCGTCAATATTATCTATATGGGAAGCTAGATCAGATCTTGATTCATTATCCCGAACGAAATCTAGTTAACTTTCCCCAACTCCAACTTCTTCTGGAATGCCCGATAGGAATTATAGACAAATGAGTCGATTATGCCAGCAACTGAAAGAAAAAGTAGATATTAGATATAATTAGGTTGTAAGTTATTTGTTATTGTAACGTCCTGTCCATGACATAGGCATGTCGCCGAAACGTCGACAACTAATTTGTTTTGAAATAATGAGTGGAGATTCTCATTTCGTCACCAACTATCATCAAAATATATGATCGACCCACTCATAAGATCAGCGAAGAAAGATTACCATAATTAGGTTGCACTCATTTCGATGTAAATAACGTGTCAGTAAAAATGCTATGTAGTATTTAGATCGATCGAGCTGAGTGAATGCGCGCTATTAACTGCTGACAACGCGCGCACCCCTTTGCATACATTACACTCTTTGCTCCTTGCATATAAAGAAAACATTTCTTAAGAGACGTGGGCATGGCACACGATGGCACGTGTGATACAAGTAAGGATAACTAAAAATGGAAATAGCTGCTCACTTACCAGTAAAGACACCCCCAACTATGGCACAAACTCCGGTCAGAAAATGAGTGAAGGATCTTCTGTGCTCGATTACTTCTACCATTAAAGGAGATATGTCATAGGTCACAAACATTCCTGGAACGAGTTATAGACTTGTTTCAAAACAAAACTGGAGTATAATACTCTATTCTTTGACTTATATGGGCTAATGAGGAGAAGAATCAAAAGTTACGTCAAAGGCCACAGCTTTTGTCTAAAAATATGAAATGCAGTTTGCATTAGAAAACACTCAGGGAGAAATCACTTACAACAAAAACTATAAATCCTTAAGGTCCTATATTTACTAATATTTATTTAATAATTACTTTACCTGGTAAGCCACTCTGTTCCCCCCTTGCAGCTTTATTTAGATCTATTGCTTTATGGTGGTGAGTCACAGAATACTGATTACTCAACACTATTTCCTCATTTATCTTCTGATATCTGGTAATAATATGATTTGTTATTGATACAAGGGATGATATATTTACGACCATTATTGAATTATATTACATTCCTAGACCACTGGGAATGTTCACTATGGAAAAAGGAACAATATTGGATGAACAGTACTTTTATTTCCACAAACCTCATAGGTACAATTTGAACGTAGTACTGTCTCATAGCATTAAGTTCAGCAGCAACAAATGTGTGGTTATCTAGAGGGTTAGTCTGCGTTGGAACAAATTCTCCAAACGATAAACTGAAACAAACAGTTATTTTCAGTGCAAATAGTTGGGATTCCAGCGAGTTCTGCAACAAAATTACAAAAATTTAGCTCACAACGGAACATTCTATTTATATTATTATATACAATTACAAGGGTCGACCGAGTCCTCGGCCTCGGCCAGGAGGACAATTCCTCGGTTTGCATCGGCCTCGTTTAAAAATTAAGTTGCTATTCCTCGGCCTCGGCGAAATTTTGAAGATTTTAAGGGTCGACCGAGTCCTCGGCCTCGGTTTTACCGAGGAATAGCGATTTTTCCTCGGCCTCGGCCTCGATCAGGAGGACAATTCCTCGGTTTGCCTCGGCCTCGGTTTTATCAAAGCAAAATTTCCTCGGCCTCGGTCGCAAATCCTGCCATCGGTCGATCCTTGATTATATAGTGTTTTATTGGGATTATCATTTTATTACCGCTGTATAATCAGTAGGAGCTTAAAAGAATGTAGTAAATGAAGAAGCAATTAAGAAAAATGTAATTAGTGACCTGTTAATTGTGTGAGTAAGATTTAGTGGGAACTGCTGGAGGAGCTTTAAGTCGTGCACGTGAGCGTGGCTCTGTTGAAAGCTCTTCCCCGGGGATATGTGGAAATTACCTGACACCTAGATATCAATATTCACGTGATCAATTATCAGTTAACTTAAATAGAAAACGAGACATTTTTGGTGTCAAATGAGGAGGAAAGAAATGGACAATATGTGTGCCAAAATTACAATCCTTAAGAACTGTATTCCCAAACGTTTTATAAGGAGAGGAGAAATAATAATGATATTTTAATTCTAACCTTGCTGACTCTCAGCCGACCTTGTACGTTGCATTGTTCATCTTTCATATCTGTCAAAGCTTTAGCTAGCCCTTCTCTTTTACACTGAAAAGTGAGATGTTAGCTTCAGCTAGTATTTCTCTTTTTATACACTGAAATTTCACATTTCAGCTAGCATTTCTCTTTTTATACACTGAAATTTCTCATTTCAGCTAGAATTTCTCTTTTTATACACTGAAATTTCACATTTCAGCTAGCATTTCTCTTTTTATACACTGAAATTTCTCATTTCAGCTAGCATTTCTCTTTTTATACACTGAAATTTCTCATTTCAGCTAGCATTTCTCTTTTTATACACTGAAATTTGCGATTTCGCATTTCATGTTTACAATTTACACAACGTGCTTGTGAAGTACTGTTAGTCACGAACGAGTTTTTGAAATTGTAAAATTCTTGATTACATACCGATATGGTAACCTAATGTGTTCTAATTTTCCATTGTATTCAAAAGACTTATTCTACTTGTTTCTCCTATAGATAATATACACCAGGGAAGGCTGAATTGATGTACATGACAGCTTATCACCTGTATAATACAACCAGCTGGTATACTTTCGATCTTTCTCTAAGCTGAAAAGCTATTATCATTCAACTCTTCTCAGTAAAGTAAAACTACATATAATAATGTAAAACTACATAAATAAAATAGGATGTTATGATAATGGCAGCTTACAGCTCATCACACTTTGATAAAACACTTTTCTATTAGTGGGAGAAAGTCATGAGGTGATTCGGCGCTTTCTGTATTTAAATAATCTTATATAGATATTTTCCAAGTGTGAAAAGTAAGTTGTGGCACGGTAGAGTCAGATAGAGACAAGAATAACACGCTATATACATGCTATTAACATTCTTTGAAATTTAGAAGCAAAAATATTTATCAGAACATAAGTTATGCCACTTTTTGTTTTTAAAATAATTAGCAATATCTCAGCGATAATTTTAACAATTTTAAAAGATAAGGATGGGTAGTGTTTCCTGGGCCACCCTGTATGATATATATATATTATATAGCAACAGTGTGGTATAGAGAGTATCTCACCGTCTTCAGTATCTGTAGCCCCTCAAATAACACTTCAAACGTCTCATACACCAACAGGGACAAAAGGATTTCGCGATTATTTTTGCCAAAAATCGCGATACCGCGAAATTTAACAGGCTATATGTACATTAAATTATACATAAAATTTGTCGCAAATAATGGAAAAAATCGCGATTCCGTACATGCCGCGCTTTCCTTTTGTCCCTGTACACCAAGGGCCTTGTATGCATGTATTGTGTCGTACTGTCAACTTAACTGTCTAGTGTCTACTGTCGTAATGCGATGGAATACAGCTAATATCAGATATGTACTTGCATCACCATCAAATGCAGTATGAATATCTCTAGCACAAACTGGCCGAAATCAGGAAAGGTATGAGCACAGGATAGGTGTTTACGGAGCAGCACGGTATAGAGAGGTATTAAGTTGTAAAACTGTAGGTACTGTTTACAGTTCACTACAATGTATGTGTGTAATGAAGTAATATGTACAAAGCTGACAAGGTTTCATGAGGTAAAAAGAGAAAGTCATACACCTACAATTATAAGGCATCAACAGTCCCGTAAAAGATTAATGAAAAGTAGTGAATGGAAAGATACGTCATTAAAAAGACAAACATCAGTATTCAGTAACCAGTAACCAGTAACCAGTAACCAGTAACCAGTAACCAGTAACCAGTACCTGTTCGAAAGCAGCAAGAGATTCAAGTCCCCAGCCCCTAAGACGGTAAGCCACGCGCACCTCCTCGCACGTGTTACAACACTTAGTGTCCGCTGTCTCCGCGCCATAGCAACTCTCACACCTGAGGGTAGTAATAATGAGTCAAGATAACAGGTACAGTAATCGGTATACACACATAAACAGTAAGCGTGGAACCTCATCGCTTCACCTCATGTTTCATCTTAATTGTTTGTACTGTGCAGTAACAAGTAGGCTGGCAAGAACAAAATGTCACTTCTTATCTATTCGTTGTCAAGTTAACCATGAAGGTAATGTAAATTAACGGCGGATGACATTTGAAAACGATGAAAGTGTGCCTCTAATTCCCCGCCCAATTCTTATAATCCTCATCGGACAGACTTCCTCTGAAATCGAATTAGACATTTTGATAGACAGCTGAGTGTTCCTAATAATATATATTATATATATATATATTATATATGTTAAATAGACCCTAGCTAGACGGTACGTGACGCGTCAAATCACTTATGCTCAGAAGTGATCTGTTACATTCCACCGTTAGTCACATTGAAATTATTTAAAGACATTAGCTGTAAACTCGCGAATTTGCTACTTTTATTTAAACATTTTTATTTGCCCCTCAGTTTCTCAATTCTCGGTCCATATATTGTGTAGGGACTACCAGTACTCCCAGTACCTAGTATTGTGCACTCGGGTGACACCGACTCTCCCAAGTTACCGTGGTACGTGAACACTGGTCATGAGAATAATTCAGCAGAGTATTTAATATTATAAGTATAATTATATATAAATATATGTATAGTATTGTATGGAATCAAAAAACATTGTGTTTCAACCCATTTTCTGTGTGACTAAAGTGACTGTATTGGATGAGGTGACTCAACTTTAATCTGTTGAGGGATTGTGATGCAGCTCGATGAGTAATTCAATAGTGATACATCATGTAATAATACGTGTATGTTTTGAAGCACCGTCGTTTTCTTAGACTGTTTACGTTTAATAGGTGAACTTGGTAATTGGTATTAATTTGTTATTCTTGTAAAGCAGCCTGGTTCCTTTACTTACAGCGCCGGGTTAATCCTTACATACATTATTATTTAAAAAATTTCCCGGATATCATCGGGAAATCCAAAAAGAAGGCGCTCTGAATGCTAATTCGTTAGTCCTGCTGCTTCAGTTTAATTGTCCACTAATACAACTACAATATATGTTGAGTTAACACTTAACGTAGAAGATACAGATAACTATCGTTATGTATAAGGACTAAGGAGTGATGTTTGTTTGAATCATTGTTTGAGACATAGTAAAATAGTAATAAAGTGGTATTAAGTACCACCATTCACTACTATTAAATATCAACTCGCTCTGAAGTAGCAAGCAATCGATTAGTACCTATTTACAAATTTAAAGTGCTTGCAATCAGCCGATCAATTTATACAGACAATTCTCAACCAGAAATACAGGTAGATTGTGAATAATCTTACAAAAAACCTCCTCATGTTGGGGTAGGAGGGGGTGAGGGGGGGGGGGGGGGGGGGGGGGGGGGGGGGGGGGGGCTTGGTTCACGCTCTAAGCCAGCTTCCAGCTAAAAAAGTATGAAATCAACAAAAAAAGCCATTCAAATCAAACCTATTAGGATCAAGTACAAGTGCAACCGTGCTATTACCGAGCTCTTCTACCTTTTCTTCATTAATCCGCGTCCCATCTGCCTTTAACCTCCTCTTCTTTATGTCATGGTCCACATCTACTTGCTGACCCCCCGACACATCCATAGCATCTACACTAATATCTGAGGAGGGGCAGGAGGGCTGCTTTTTAAATTGTATCAATTTTAGGAAGCAGGTGTGAGTGCATCAAGTCTTTGTTGTGCTACTAAATCATACCATCCTTAATTCCGAACTCTTATTTAAATCTAGACAAAAATTTATTATTCAGATTATCAGTGTGATGAGAATTTAAAAAAAACTTACGATCGCAAGGTAAGTGTTGAAATGTAACGTCTAAATAAATATCAAGTAGTTCTGATCTCGTAGTATCCATCAGAAGCTTTTCTTTTATCTGTAGAATAGAAATGTTTATAATGTACTTTCAGAAATAATAAGGTACTTTCAGAAATGGTTAGTTAAGAACCAAGTCCTAGGTTTTAGTGAGTTTTTTTACTCGTCATGTTATATTATATTACATAGTAAATTTATGCTTTATAACTTTAATATCACTTTAAATGCTTTGATATTACTTTAAACTTTATATTAGTTTCAAGTCACTATTTCATCATTCTTTATAATAACTTTAAATAGTTCTCTCTCGTTGACCGTTGTGCGTGTGTCAAAATGGTATATAAAATAAATTTAACACTTACAGAGACTCCTAAGAAGAACTGAAGTTCAGCAACAAATAAAGCTATCATTATTGCTCCACTGATTATCGTTACTGAAAATAGGATTCCATGGGTCAACGAATTGTTATCGAGTAAATAAATTGAAAGACAAAATAAATGAATCATGATAAATGTACTTTGCAAACTAAGTTAAAGTATTGGCTTTCTCCACACTTTCTGTTAGGGAGACCTGAGACGAGGGTTCCTGGCTGTCTGTCTCGAGTGGGTGCTTCATGAACAGCAGTAAAAAACTCTCCGAACACAACCACGATGAAAAAGAGCAGAGATCTGGTCATCGCTCTAAAGAAGACGAAGAAGAACGTGCAGCGACAATCGGCGGACACATCAACTAAACGGATTCGTTGCTGAATTCTTTCAGGACTGGATTCGAGTGCAGAGCTAACCTGGGATGTCGGACCAACAGCCTCTCGAAGATGGTGCGAACAGCACGAGCTGCTGCGAACAGACAACCAACCAACCCCACATTAAACTTGTCACTATATAGTGTTGTCACTATATAGTGCGTTTTGCACACTATATGGTGACAAAGATCAGCTGTCATTATAAAGTGCTTGTCACTATATAGTGTTGTCACTATATAGTGCGATTACCTTTACTTACTTGTGGCACCTCCGCAGGTTTTTATCCTGAAATCCTCCATCGTCTTAGGATAAGCATCAAATCGTTTCAGTGAGCCAAGCAAGCTGCCACCCCCTGACGCAACACTAGCCATATTGAACTTGCCTAAAAAGATCGGGAATTATAAGAAAATATAATCGGGTTATGTTTAAACTTTGAGTGATATAGCAAACAATCTTGTGGTCGATTTAAAGCAATATTTGACTGATGACAGTGTGATAATGACTAATGTACATTATGTATAATTAATTATAATTACTATTATGTATTGTTAATAGTAATTATATTATTACAGAATACATAACGTCAGATATTACTCATGTAATTACGGGTTATACAACATAACACTAGGTTTAGTTACATTGCTCCATTGTACATATAAAAACTGAATAACAACGACCCAGAAATAAATGTGCCTGTCACATTGATACAGATTATGACAGCGTTGTTCCGAGAGCAGGAGACAGACATTTATTCGTTGTTAAGGGGAGGGACTTAAAGACTTCAAAAGATAGTATCACACTACCACATATGAGCTGATAAGACTATTGTAAGTGCACACATGCTTTCAGAATCCAGAATATTCTGTCTCGAATCAAGATAATAATGTGTGAAAGAAATGGAGACTTTTATTCAATATTATGTGCTAGTCTCAAGGAAATACTGAACACTTGCTGGTTCTTCGTTTGCAAACGATAGACATAAATGTTTATGTATATTATATATTACGCTAAAGGCACTTTTGGTTTTTGTTGTTCTTGCCGTTTCCTTGATATTTAAGTTTGAGTCCTGTTCACAGAACGTAGCCGGTTATGGCAGGTGAAGACAAAGGTGAAGCTATGTCAACAGCCACAGTCACTGCTGACTATGGTTCTGTGTCTCCTCCAAACAAGATGTTTCTTGACGACTTTTATAATAAAATAGGTAACTACGACAAATTCCACGCCATAAACTCAGATGAAGTGAATTAGATGTCAGTCCTATCAGAAAAATGTTTAAAATTGTTAAAAGTAATATGTGGGAGATGTTATAGCCCTGGTGTATTAATACTGTAGTGTTTATTGCGTACTAATTAATGAATGATGATTCACAGGATTTGGGTATGCGCAGGTTACATTTTGGACAGTCCTCTCCATTATCGCACTAATGGATACAACAGAGGAGGCTCTCATTTCTCTGGTTATTCCTTATCTGAGATGCGAATGGAATTTGACATTGTTTTTTGAGGGAACCATTACTGTTGCAGTGTTTCTCTTCTATGGTATAAGTAAGTCTGCAACTAATACTTCCGATATGTAATGCATGCTATAGTATGTATAGTATGGTTTAAGTTAAGTGTAAAATTGTAAAAATACTAATTTTTACAGATTCTGCCCTATGCATTCTGTGAACGATGTATAATCATTAGATTGCATTCCATTTGCTATATTACTCTATTACTATTATGATCACACTATGCAGGTAGTGTTGTTTTTGGAAAAGCTGCTGATAAATACGGACGGAAAACAATCCTCCTGTTTACTCTTGGGACGTTGGCTGTGACAGTAGTCTTTAGTGCATTATCAACAAACAAGTGGCAGTTTTTAGCTGCCAGGACTATCACAGGAGCATGTATAGGTGCTAACTTTGGAGCGATTGTTTCCTTTGCCTCGGAGGTATGCTTCAAGTAATAATAATGCTTCAAGTAATAATAATTACTGCATCGCAGTAATTGGTTTAATTAGTCATTGATACCAATATAATGCCCTGATAACATATTTCAACGTCTGTTTTGTCCAAGTTAAATAAATAAATAAATAAATAAATAAATAAATAAAGTCAATTTTTACAGCACAGCAATATATATCTAAATATCAGATCCTCTGTAATCATAATGTATAAAAAAAGGAGCTTTTCTCTGTGCTGAAGGATGAATCAAGGCAGATCATGGTTCTGTTAGCAGGCCACCCTAGTTATGGACAATACATATATATAAAATAATTAAATTATAATTTTAAAATTGTGTCAAGTTCTTAATAAAGCTGATTAACTAACATCAATTCTTAATTTCAGGTGGTTCCAGTAAAGTATCGGTCATTAGGCACATCTTTGATAATCTTTGTTTCAAAGATTGGGATGTTTCTTACAGCAGTGGTGGCATACTTTTTCCTAAACTCCCTGGGATGGAGATGGTTCATTATCATTGTGTCTCTACCTATCATACCATCTATTCTGTTGCTATGGTTTTTACCTGAGTCACCAAGATATCTCATCGTCAGTGGAAAAGAACAAGATGCTCAGAAAGCTATCAAATTCATGGCAGACATGAATAAAGTAGAGATAAACGAAGAAACAACTGTTATTTGTAAGCAGTCAGAAGAATTGGGCGAAATGAGAGTATTGTTTGAACCAGAATATAGAAAGGAAACAATTTTACTCTCCGTCATATATTTTGGAAATATTTTGGTTTTTTTAAGCCTCCTACTGTTCCTTCCATTAGCAATCAACTCAAAATTTTGTGGAGGAGATGGCGCAACACCTGCACATGTGTGCAAAAAATTAAGTCAAGGATCCATTTTAAAGGTAATAGTTATTGTCTCAGCCACCATGGTTGGAGTTATTGCTGGACATACAATGTCTCATTTCACTGGCCGTATCCCTGCTCTCCGAGTATTTGCAGCAATGGCTTTTATTTGTAGTCTTCTTCTGTACAAATGCTTCTCGGTGACAGTAACAATTTTTATTTTCTATGTCATCGAATTTTCATCATCCGGTTTGAACATTATAATTTGGATCATCCTGCTTGAGAACTATCCCACGCACATCAGAACAACTGCTTCTGGTTTTGTCAATTTCTGGGGTAAGGTAGGCGGTGTGATGGGTGTAGTTGGAGTCTATGCACTGTTTTATGTTAGTCCTTATCTATTGGTGACTATGTATACTGCAAGTACACTCATGTCCCTGGTTGGCGCAGCACTATTTACAAAGGAAACAAGACATTTAGAGGTACAAGACATAACTGATGAAGTAATCAGCGATTCTACTTCCTAAATAGTTTCCTGAAAGGTATGGGAATGCTTAGAGTCCAATTATGAAACTAGGGAAGACGCAAAAATGATTGTTAGATTTTGGTTTATCAATTTTTGGATTAGTTTAAATCATGTTTTACAGTTTACATCTTTATATAATACAGGGTGGCCCATGAAAGTCTACCCATCCTTATCTCTTAAAATTGTTACAGGTCGCTGAGATCTTGCTAATTATTTTATTTCAGAATGGAAAAGCGCCATAACTTACGTTCTGATTAATATTTTTGCTTCAAATTTTTAGAGAATGTCAATCATAATTAGACACAACTTCGTGCTAAGTTTTGTGTGAGTCTGAGCTTGTCTGACAAAATTAGCTCCTGAGTGTGCTAGCGTTAATTTCTCACCCAGAACTGTTTACATTGGTTAATAGAAACCACCAAAAAAAATCCTGGGTAAAAAAATTAAAAAACCACCGATTTATTTATGTTTTACCAATTCTATTCACCACGATGCATCGCACATTCCATTCTCTACACTGCTGCACTGTACAGTGTACATCCTATATTTTAACTGATAAGGACTATCACAGATGATCCTTCCTGCTTGTTTATATCGTTCTGCTCACTTGCCTTAACAAATTTAAAATTATAGCTGGATGATTAGCCTACAATTTTATCGATACTGAAATCAATTGAATTGCGTTTCTCGACAGGCACCACGAGAAGGTTCATCCATTGCCCGCCGTGTTGGCGATTAAAATCACCGTTTGTGTTGGCGATTAAAATCACCGTTTGTGTTGGCGATTAAAATCACCGTTTGTGTTGGCGATTAAAATCACCGTTTAGAGAAGGTGCTCAATGTGACCACTGCCTCGGCTCTTCAGGACGTCCATCCTCTTGGCTACTGATAAACAGGAGTTCTGGCAGTGAGTGATGGGGATGTTCCGCAAGTTGTCACGAATGACAACTTCCAAAGCAGCAAGGTTGGGGATGGGTAGACTCTCGTAGACCTTATCCTTCAACCATCCCCACAGGAAGAAGTCGCAAGGAGTGAGGTCAGGAGAACGGGCTGGCCAGTGTTGAGCAAGTTTCTCTCCGATCGTCATGCTCCCAAACTGGTCACCAAGGTAATCAATAATGCGGTTGGGGATGTGCACTCTCGCCCCGTCCTGCATAAAGCTCATGAGAGACGGATCCAGGTCGTGGTGTGCACAGGTCGTGGTGTGCACAGAAGTTGAAGAGTTCTGGTATAAAGAAGCTCTGCAACATCTGTAGGTAGCGATCTCCGTTCACAGTTACAGTGGCACCAGCTGCATCCTTGAAGAAGTATGGTCCGATGATTCCGTGAGAAGCGATCGCACACCAGACGTTCAGCTTTGGAGAGTTCTGAGTAGGTCTCTGCTGCACGCTGTCAGGTCTCTGGCTGCCCCAGTGTATTGCGTTGTGGCTGTTGACGGAACCGTGGAGGCAGAACTTGGCTTCGTCGGTCCACCAGATGTTTCCGATAAAGTCCTCGTTTGTGGAATCTTTCAGAAGCAACCAGTCAGCAAAGCGTACTCTAACTGGTGGATCCTGAAGCTGCAGAGTGTGGTGAACTGTCCAGCAAAAAGGGTACAGTTTCAGTTCAGTCCTCAGAATGCGTTGCAAAGTCGTCCTAGGTATGCCAAGATTGGCCGAACGTCTTCTGGTCGATTGCCTGGGGTGGTCTGCCACAGATCCTACTACAGCCACAGTGTTCTCAAAGGTCACTCCCGTAGATGGTGGACCAGATGCATCCTTTTGTCGGTTGGTGACAACTCCATGTTCTGTAAATTTCTTCTTAAGGTTGTAGACTGCTTTCCTAGTAGGGGGAGTGATTCCAGGGAATTTCGCTATGAACAGTTGGATAAGAGCTGCGAAGGGGGTATCCTTGGATTCAGAAACAATAAATATCCGTTGCTGGACAGTTAGTAGAGGCATGATAAGATGATCGTTAATGGTTAATAAATTGTTGCGACTTTTAAGGGGGAAATCTATCCCTGCTATCGTAAAATTCCCATGAGAATTCATAAGATTATGGATTATCGACCGGAAATCTACGTTATCGTTTGTTTTCTTT